AAAAAAAAAAAAAAAAAAGAAAAGAAAAGAAAATTTAATAAGTCAGCTGAAAACACTGGATTCAATTTTCATTTATGTGTATTTAATCAGCTGACCTAGAATTCAGCAATTAAAAACATAAACAATCATTTTATATGCTTATTGCCTCTACAGGCAAGGTACTTTTATGTCTTTGTGACAATTACAGGAAAACACCTCCCTAGGCAAACAAATACACAAAAATAAAAGGGTAAAAATCTTATCCACAAGCAGCTTTAATGAAGAAAAATTATTCTGACTGATAATTTTAAGTGCTGAGCAAACATTGAAGAACTCTGAGAAGAAATTTCAGAAAACTTCAGCCCACCTTAGAGTCAAGAAACACAGGTAATATGATATGCTACAACATTACCTGGTTATAAAGCAGCACAATTGGCTAGTTAGAACAGCTTACTGGGGAAATAAACAAACACAAAATCCAACCGTGCTCCAGTTCAACAATCACTACAGCATGAGTTGTCTCTGCTTACAAGAAGCTTCTGGGGTGGGGAGGAGCGACACAAAAGTAAAATCTGCAGTTAAGCAAAAGAGAGGGCAATTTTTTTTTCCTTTTATGGTTTTTACAAAATCCACCAAGGAGGTAGGAGGCAGGAGAAAGGAATTAAGATTACATATACTGAGACATAACTAAAGGCAGACAGAAAGAATGAGAGTTAAACTTTTACAGGGACCGAAAAATAAACGTATTGTACACTCTTAACCTCATTAATATGGATGTACTTAAGTAACAGAAGCAGTTCCAGATGAGGAATGTATCAACTTCCAGGCACGAAAACTGAAGGGGCAAGGGAGTCAGTGAGAGTACTCTGGGCAAGCGGGAGCCAAGGTCTCTAAGGTAAAGAATGGGATATCACACAGCATATACATCTTCTACATTGCTATGCTTTATTAATTGGGTTACAACATGATGTAGACTGACTAGAAGCGTCAGGCACTTCAAGTCTTTCACGCCACTCTAACCACTCAAATAATCCTATTAGCAATTAAAAAAAAAAAAACACTCAAGGATTATTTCAGTCGCATAATGTGTCAGCTTTTACTTTAAGGATGTAAAGGAATCGGCTCAGCGCCTGTGGCTCAAATGGCTAAGGCGTCAGCCACATACACCGAAGGTGGCAGGTTCGAATCCAGCCCAGGCCTGCCAAACAACAATGACAGCTGCAACCAAGAAAAAATAGCCAGGCGTTGTGCCGGGCGCCTGTGGTCCCAGCTACTTGGGAGGCGGAGGCAGGAGATTCGCTTGAGCCCAGGCGTTGGAGGTTGCTGTGAGCTGTGATGCTACCGCACTCTACCCAGGGGGACAGCTCGAGGCTCTGTCTCCAAATAAAAAAAAAAAAAAAAGATGTAAAGGAATCAAAAACCTTGCGGTTCCTCTGGGCTGGCCTCCAGCCTGGGTAGGAGGGAGATGAGGGTGACCAGACAGGTGAGAGTGGGTGTAGGGATAAGGGCTGCCCAGTGGCCTCGGTCCCTAGGCAGTGTCTTTTCTCGTCCAATCTGGAAGTGTCCCTGGGGCGAGAAGCTGGCTGCCGTCGCCGAAGCCCCCTACCAGAGCTGGGCGCCCCCACTGCTCAGGACTGAACCCCGGGGACGGCAGGCACCTCCCCACGGCCCCGCATACTCGAAGCCCTGTTGCCCACCCAGCCCGCGCCGGACCCGCCTCCAGCCCCTAGGGACCACCTACCGCGCGCCTGCCCTCGGGCTGAGGGTTGCCTGACGACCCGCTAGGCGACTGCGTTACCATCGAGCGGAACGAAAAGAGCGGCGCCTCACGACTTCCGGAGGACGCGGACAGTACCGGAAGTCACGGGGCGGATCGAGGGAGGCGTGGTCTCCGAAGTTCATGGCGCGGCTGTTGCTAGTACCCGACCGATTTATGCGGCCTCCGGGCGGCCGACTTTGGCGTCTCTTGCCTCGTGGACTCGGGCTTTGGGGCCGGGCCGAGGAAGCCGCGAGAGTGTTGCTGAGGCAGTGCTGCGCGCGGCAGGAGGAGGCGTGGTGGGGTTCGGGGCTGGCTGGCAGGTGCCTGGGAAGCCGGCCCCTCAGCACTGCAGTGCCACCAACCCTCGGGTTGCCAGGGTCCCACGCGCCCCTCGTAGCCCGGGGTGAGTGCGTACCTGGAGCTATTCCAGTGCTCGTCTTGCTGTGGGCCAGCCCTCTGCCCTTTTCATCCCTCTTGGTCATAACCTTAGAAACTATTCAGCCTGGCCTAGAATTGGTCTCAGCGCTGCCGGCTTACCTGATGCATTTCCATGGCCTTGCTGGTAGTCCTGGGCCTCAAGAGAGAACTTGAGAACCTATAACCAACCTCTCCATGTGATTAGATACTCAACCTTGAGTTTTATGTTAGATTTTGCACCAGAAAAATAAATGAGTTTCAGGTTTTTCGAACGTTTAAGTTTACCATGATTGTGAAGTCAGAGCACTTTTATAATTGCTGTCACTTGGACCCCTTTACGTATTCCTTGTATACCCTGAAATTGTAAGAGAAGCTAGATTTTAGTTACGTACAGGTATGCCTTTTTCTTGGGTTCTTTCTCGAGTCTGCTTCTGACCCCAAAAGAACTTAAGAGCCACTCCCCTCTAGTAATAGGTGGAAAAGGAGTTAGGCCTAGCTGACAAAAATCTTTCTGTTTCAAGGACTTGAAAAAGAGTACAAAGAAATAGTTCATGTAGTTTGCACTTTTAGACACCTTTACTATTTTGAGCTTGTTAATTCTGGAAGCCAGAGTTATGTTAACCTTAAGTATTTTGTTTATTTATATTCTCAATACCAGTTCAAGAAGGTAATAGGTTTTTAAATCAGCAATTGTGGCCAAGGACACATACAGTAATAATCTTGGTACAAGAGCTTCATTTCATATGAACAGAAACTGACTTAGTAAGTTTCCCCTGAAAATGAGTGTCTGTTAGTTCCCAGAACTAACTTCATTCACAGTAACTTTCACTGTTTTCTTATCCAAGAATTTTTTGCACATTTAATAAGATCATCAAGTGTGTGTACACATGTTAAAAACTACTATAGTAAGTTTTAGTATGGTTAAATGTTTGCTTCTTACTAGGGTTTTATTTTTGAAATCTCTGTCCCAGTAGCCTGTTTCCTGGAAGTCTTTAGCAGTCACATTTGCTATTGGAGGAGCTTTATTAGCTGGAATGAAGTATTTCAAGAAAGACAAGGAAGAAAGTAAATAGATATCATGGTCAGTTCTGAATAAAGTCCTTCCTGGCTGTGGATTAGCATGTTTTTGTTGTTCTTAAACTTTTATTTTGAAATAATTTTTGATTTATGGAAGAGTTGCAAAGATGGCATAGAGGTCCCATATACCTTTCACCCAGATTCTCCTAATGTTTACACTTTATGTTACCATAGCATGTTTATCAGAAATAAGAAATTAAAATTAGCACCAGCTATTAACTAAACTACAGAGTTTATCTGTATTTCACCTGTTTCTCCATCAATGTTTTTTATCTGTTCCAGGATCCAGTCTAGGATACCACTGCCCAAACAATATTACAAGCCTTACTATGTACAGATTTGCATGTGTAAAAGATGAAATTCAATACAAAGATGACTGAGTTGCAGTCTAGCCCTTGAGATGCACATGGCAGAGATAGACACAGAAGTAAAGGATTTCACTAGTAAAGGCCAGAGAGAAGATTAGGATGCTCATTGAGCCAAAGGAAGGCCCAACCTTAGGATTTGTGAAGGCTTCCTAGGAATGAGGCATGGAGAACAGTATGAGTGGATACTGCAAACCAGCAGGTTTCTGTAGAGGGAGAGGTCAGAGGGTGACCATGGGTGAGGGGGAGAGAGTACCTGACCAGGAATTTCTCTGATTAGAATCTTGAAGCATTTAGAAATTCTTCATTGGAACTTGATTTGGTTGAGAGGTTTTAGGTAAATCTTTAAAGTATTGCTTAAGTCTTTTTATTCTTTACTGGAGAGTCTCGATGTCATTATGCAGAGGGTAATGTTTAAATCTGAGAGTGAGAATTTATAGGCTTAGGATATAACTTAGCAATATGAGTTTTGTACAGAAATATATGACATTATTGGCATTAGAAGAATTTTATTGATAAGATTTGCATAGTCTAATAAGCAAAAAGTTCCTTAAGTTTTAAAAGAAACACCTGGAAAGCTAACAAAATAGTGGGAGAGAAAATTCTAGAATATGTAAGGTTTGACTTTAATTTGGAATTTCAAATGCTATGTTAACATTTGTTTTATTAAAAAATTAAATTAGGCTCGGCACATGTAGCTCAGTGGCTAGGGCACCAGCCACATACACCAAGGCTGGCAGATTCAAACCCAGCCCGGACAATGACAACTGCAACAACAACAAAAAATATCCAGGTGTTATGGCAGGCGCCTGTAGCCCCAGCTACTTGGAAGGCTGAGGCTAGAGAAA